CTTCTGGAGAATTTGTCCTGTAGCCTCGGGAAAAGCTCGTCGCCGGCGGCCTCGATAGAATCGTCGGCGCCCTAGTGCAATTCTCCACATTTTGGTCCTTTTTGCTCCAAATTCCCTCCTTTTTGCATATTTTTGCTCCATTGACCCTAATTCATCATTCCTGCAACAAAACATCAAAAAATCTTTCTTTAAAGTGCAATATCATTAAAAACAGTATAAAAAAGGTATGAAAATCTCAACATATTTTCTTTTGATCAGCTACTCGTGACTTAACTCGACTAAAACTCATTCATAAGCATCTGAATAGTTAATCAAATGAGCTTGAATACTTTCATAGGTACTTGATTATTACATGAAGCTTGAACAACTTATCGTTTCGTTGAGTATCATTTAGAGATCGTACAAGCTCATGATCAAGCTTAATTAAAGCTTAATTACCGCTAGATTACAATTTGTTCATGAACAATATCGTTTAAATGTTTATTTTTAAGCTCAATAAGCATTATTTTGATAAGACTTGGTTTATTTTTCCCAATAAACTACTCGTACAAAGTGCAAGTAAGGCTCGATTAAAGCTCAATTATGGCTCATTTATTTTGTGAAACGAGCTACTTGTTAATAAACTCGATAAACCCTCTATGAATCGAGCTCAAGCCAAGAACAAATGAGATACGAACTTGATCAACCTTGAGATGAGCACGAACAAAGTCTTAATAAACAAGCTCAAGCTCGAACAAGCCCCTACTTGGCTCAACTTAGTTCATTTGTAGCCCCAAACATGAGTGCCACTTACTAAAAATTTGATGGACAATTTTTTTTTAGAAACAAAAGAGATGAATTTTGGAGGATTACATCAATGACCGATTAGAAAAGAGTAAAACATTGGTCGAACACATGTTGAACCTCTCTAAGATGTTTACCATGATAAGAAAATTCTAACTTGAAACTCATTTAAGGCCAATAACTATCTTAGAAGCTCCATCCACTTGTCGAATTAACAATGTCCAGAAGTTAACAAGCAAGCTGGATGTTGGTTAGGCTTAGCAAGTTCATATCATGCATATGTTAGTGAAATAATATTCTATTCAATGTAATGAAGAATTTGCATGGACGCCCTAGCATGAAGTCTCATAAATACAAAATAGCTCCCATCCACTTCGCCCTGTTCACAAAAATCCTATCCGGGAGAAGCCTTACTAGTCAGCCTCTGAGTACATAACAAAATATTGTACTCCTTATACATGAAGGCAGGAGACAACAATCATCTTACTATGTAACCAATGTTCTAAATGAGTCGTAATAAAGATGCCTGTTCATAGACAAGTTGGTGCTCAACTAGTGAGTTCTACTCGTCATTGAAGACCACATTTTTTTCTCGGAAAAGGTGAGCCCAAAGGCAATACACACAATTCAGACCCACAGCTTTACGGTGGAATACTATATCCTCAACCACTATGCCATGAGCGAGTATGCATTTAAGACCATATTTTGATGCTCATCTTTTTCGTGAGGTGAAAAACCAGCTGATCTAACAGGTTTTTAAGATACTAGAATTATTTGACAAACTTATTAAATGTGTGTTCAAATAAAGTAACCAAGACATTAAATGTCTTCATGATTTCGACGAACTTGATGGTTGAGCTAACTTGAGAAGAAGATGAGCTTTAAGGCAGCCCGGTGCGATGCAAAGATGATTGGATTCTCTATAATGATGGAACGGCCCAGCTGACACCATCCTGACTAGCCCATAGGTATCATCACTACTGTAATCCATCAGATGTCAAACTCACAAACAAGTGCAAACAAAAAATGAAATAGTACTTGCCAAGCTGTGGCCTGTGATCAAAGTTTGTGCAAAAGAAACCCATCCTCCACGCTGACTCTTAACTGGATATCAACCAAATTGTCAGCAACTATAAAGCTTGAGAACCTCATTCCAATTAAAAATCTAGAAAAAGTTCGAAAATAGATCACAAGGCATGTTTCTGTGGGGAAAGTATGGCAATCTACACCATACAAAATGTAGATGGGGAGTTGGAAACACCATCGATTGAAGAATTAGCTGCCTTGCAAATTGATGCAAATTCACCCTAGCTAATGTGACAATTAATCACTCAGCCAGACAAACCCTCACTTAATAATCTAGCACGCCCTAATAAAATTTATTTGTCATGTGAGAACTCTTTAATCGTCCAATACACCAGCGATCAAATCTGGAACCAAAAGGACCATAATTATTAGCCAACTACACTAGCGATCAAATTTCAGACCCAAAAAACTTAAGCTCATCTTTTTTGGTCTATACTAACCTTAACGCTCTAATGTACCACCTGGGAAAAGAATCATATTAACTCAGGTAGAGAACATGAGATGAAATCCATCAAAACAAAAGATTGTTTGCTTCAACGGCATTCTGTTGCATATTATGTACAATAATGACATCTTCTAGTTGCTTGTCTGGGGGAGCATTCGAAAGTGTATTTTCAGTTTCTGCCATGCACCTATCGAGCCTCCGCTCAACCATTTCAAGGGCTTCCTTTGAGAAGGCACTTTTGACCACAACTGTAATGGCCTTGCGCACAACCTGACTGTAATGAAGATCTGAAACAGTTTGGTCTTCAGTGCTAAGCTGGGGGTCCGTTGCCACTCCATCCTTGGCATGCTTTGTCCACCTCTTTAGCAGGTATCGTGTTGGAAGGTGAAGAATGTTGTTGTAGTTAAGCACCTTCAGGGTATGCATGCAAAGAATTCCCATTGATTCAAACTTCTTGCAGCTGCACACAACCGAGACATTTGATGAATCGAACTCGACAAGACCAAAAGAACGTTTCTGAGGAATTGACACCCTGAAAGTGTAAATGTTTCTTTCTATTCCGACGGGTTCACAGAGACAAGCAAGCTGGCTTTTATACTCTTCTTCAAAATCCCTGTATATTGCTCTTGTGTAAGATTCTGCAGCTTCCACCAGTGTTGGTATATCAGCCAGCAGGGCTGATTTGCAAACCCTTGATTCATGATCTTCGCGAAATTCCTTCTCACGGAGCTGGTTCAATGCCCTCTGATACTGCACCATGAATTTCGATGGAGGCAACTTCCTATAGAACAGCATTTTGAAATTGTTGTCCATGGTTTCTCTCCATTCCTTGGTTGTCATGGTGGCACAGAATGAATTTTTGCAGTACACCAATGACCACTTTTCTCTAGCAGCATATAAATCTTCCAACCACGAATTGTTCATCAGATTGTGTTTGGATATCAGGTTTTCCCATGCTTTGCAGAAATCAACTTCAGAGCAGCCTTCAGATAAACAGTTCTCAAATTCTCTCTCAAAGCTGGGGTCACGACTGAAAATATGTGGAATGATTTTTGGAGCATTTTCAAGTATATGCCATATGCAAAACTGATGATACGTTTCAGGCATTGACATGCAAATTGCCTTTGACATTGCTGCACATTGGTCAGTCAGTATCGTTTTTGGCTGTTTTCCAGACATTGCTTCTAAAAAACTCTTGAATAACCAATAGAATGACTCGATGGTTTCATCCAAGAGCAGAGCAGCACCAAAAATAACTATTTGCTTGTGATGATTAATACCAATAAAAGGAGCAAAGGGAATGTCATAAATGCTCACCCGGTACGTGGTATCAAACAAAACTGAATCACCAAAACAACTATAATCAAATATGGATCGAGCATCAGTCCAAAAGAAATTGGTGGGCCGGTCCTTTTCATCGAGCTGCACTGCATAACAGAAAGTAGGATCCTCGGATTGCTTGGCTTTCAGGAAGTCCAAGATGAATTGAAGATCTCCCTTCTCAAGATCTCTGGTTCGATTACTTTGCAGCAAATGGTAACTCTGATTCTTGTAAGGAAACGTAGTAGTTTCGGCACAGCGAACGTTATCTACATGACTACCACATGTTTGGGCAGGTTTGATGCCAACATAGTCCGATTCACTAATGAAAGCACGATGGGGAGAAAACTTTGCTCTATGAGACCTCAACATGTGTATCTTATTTGAGCTTGCGAGTGGATGATTATGATCATCAATGAACTTGCTAATAGTCCATGCATTATCACGACTAACTTTTAATTCAATGCGAGCCAAGCAATTAGTTCTCTCAATTGCCCGTGGCTTTTTTGTTATGTGTGTGCGATGTTCCTGCCGTGTCCCCTCATTGCTGCACAAGTAGTGTCTATCCCGAATACTCCCATCCTTCCTTCGTGAAAGATGACCTTTTCGAACACTGAAACCTTTTCCTTTTGCATAAGAATTATAAAATTCATAAGCTTGTTCTTCAGAATTGAATATCATGCCAACCTTTGGCTCTGACTGTGAATTGTTGACTCCCTCCCGAGCAATAGATCCATCTGAGAGCTTCACTTCTTTAGTAACAAATATGTCAGAGCCACCATCAATTTCTCTGGAAGTTCCAGAAGCATTAGATAGAGCATTGCCTCCTGAAATGCTTTCCTTCATCGACAGTATTTCACTAGCCATTCCAGGAAGTAGCTTACAGCTTTCAGATATCTATCATTTCCTAACAATAATTTAATTGAAAACATTACTCTAAAACAAAACTGGGCATTTTATTTTACTTGAGATCCCATTAATGAAAAGAAATTAACTGATAGAACCTGTAAAACCATACAAGGACATGAATGTTAAAATAGAACCAAGATAAGAGTAAAAATAACATAATGGTGGACGGTAAAGTAGCACCCAATTAGGACAAAATGTAGCAACAGAAAATCGAGTTGCAACAGCAACAGCAAGTGAACCATTCACACATGCGGAGCAGAAAGATAAAATCAATGTAAACAGCATAAGAACGAAAAGGATAGACCAACAGTAACTAGTTGTTCAAAATAAAGATTTATATCATAATTAACAAGGAAATGCTCAAAATTATCAATGGTCAAATATAGGATTGATGGATTGGACTCATAACTGGGACAAGTTTAATGATTATAAGAATAATGATGAAAAAGAAATAGCACGATATGCAATATCATACATAATTTGTAAAACATAATTGCAGGAACTAGAGTTATTAATCGGAAAGAAAAAAAACATTATTATCTTAAAGGACTTCAAATAGGCATGCGTGCTGAAATTGAACATTATATGCTTCTGAAAGAAGCTAGAACCACGTTTTGAGGAATCGGCTGAAAAGGATCCAGAATGAGCTTTTGGATAGGTTTCAAAAGGTATCAGCATGACATGATGACCTTTTTATAGGTATTGACGGCTTCTCAGCCTTTCTGCCGTAACAGAAAAAACTTCTTATTTTTAAATAGAAAGAATATGATACATATTTATATACACTCATATCTCTATATATTATGAATATTTCTAACATATAAAAGATCGGATAAGTAAATTTCCTCTAATTAGGTTACCTAATATCAAACATCCTAATATACACCCATTACATTTAATGAATAATTTCTATAACATTCTCTCTCAAGCTGGAGCATAGATATTTATATATCCAGCTTGTTACAAATATAAGTGACTCTAGCTCCATTAAAGGTCATTGAGAAGATTTCCCCTAGTTGTCCCTTAGTTTTTACATGAGCCATAGAAATCAAATTTTGTTGAATTTTTTCATAAACAAAATGACAACCTATCTCAATGTTCTTAGTTCTTTCATGGATGAGAAAATGTTTGAAACAATATAAATTGCAGTTTGGTTATCACACCATAGTTTTGCTGGAACGGCCATCTTAAAACCCATTTTGGCCAGGAATTGGGAGACCCACGTCAATTCGCTCAAGATTTGTGCTATTGCTACATACTCAGATTCTACACAGGATCAACTGTTGGGGAAGACATGATCGAACTTATAGTGCTAAATACGCAATGTTAAGACGAGCCATTGTGAAGTTGTTTAATTTTTCCACTAACTTGTTATATCATTCAGGATCATTAAAAGACTCTCTATCCTTGATAAGTTGTCGATTGGGAAGCATCAAAATATTGCATAATTTGAACTCTAATTTCCCCATTTCCACTAACAAATCCAACAAATGCTTCCATTCAAATAAAATGATACACTTCTTGCTCCTTAAAACCTCAATCCCCAATAAGTACTTCAAGGAACAGACATCTTTAGTATTGAAATTGTAACGGAAAAATTTCCTCTTTTATACACACTCCCAACTCTCTATATTAAGAATAACTCTAATATAAAAAAAAAATCCTCTAATTAAGTCCAATATCAAGTTTCCTGATATACAAGGTTCAAATTTATTACTTTCCATAGCACTCCCCCTCAAACTGGAGCATAGATATTTATCACGCTCAACTTGTTACAAATATAAGTGACCCTCGTTCCATTAAAAGCATTTGTGAAGATATCCCTTAATTGTTCCCCAGTTTTCACATGAGCTATAAAAATTAGATTTTTTTGAATCTTTTCGCGAACAAAATGACAATCTATTTTAATATGTTTCGTTCATGAAAGACAATTTGAGTAAATATGAATTAAAGATTGGCTAACACACCATAGTTTTGTTATAACTGTCATCTTAAAACTCATTTTGGCCTAGAGTTAGGATAACCACTTCAATTCACTCGAAGCTTGCGTCATTGCTCCATACTCAGATTCAATACTAAACCGTAACACTACAAAGATGCAATACCAGACCAAATTATCACCAACAAAGATGCAATATCTAGTAATGGATCTTCAATCAATCTTGGAACTTGGAAAATCTGCACACTTAAACATTCAATATTTTTATGCCCATAATCTAGATAAAAAATACCTTGTCTGAGAGCTTTCTTGAGGTAACATAGTATTTGTTCTAAAGATGACCAATGATGGATTGTGGGGGAAGACCTAAACTGACTTGTAGTGCCGAGTACACAATGTCAGAACTACTTATTGTGTGGTAGCTAATTTTCTCACAAACTTCTTATATCTTTCAAGATCATTAAAAGGTTCCCATCTTTGGTAAATTGCTAATTAAGAAGCATTAAATTATTGCATGGTTTGACCCATAATTTCCCAGTTCGTGCTAAGAAATCCAACACATATTTTCGTTGAGATAGAAAGATACACTTCTTGCTCCTTGCTACCTCAATCCTGAAGAAGTACTTCTAGGAACCCAAATAATTAGTGTTGAACTGATTTTAAATTAATGATTTCAATGATAAAATTCATCGTTTTCAATAATAATAATATCATCAACATAAATCATCAATAGAATAATTCTCGAAGCTGATTTATCGTAGAATACAGTGTGAACACCTCTACTTGTATATACACTGGCTAAATTTTCTAAACCTTGCTCGAGGGCGTTGCTTCAATCCATATAAGGATTTTCGAAAACGACATACTTTCTAAGACTCCCTGAACAACAAACCTAAGAGGTTGCTCCATATATATTCTCTTCTAAAAGATCATGCAGAAAAGCATTCTCACATCCAACTGGGCAAGGGCCAATTATTCGTTGTGGCCAAGGATATGGTTAAGCGAACCAAAGTCATCTTAGCTACCAGAGAGAATGGGTCCAAACAGTCGATAACATAAGTTTGAGCACAGCCCTTAGCAATTAACCGAGCCTTAAGTCAAGCTATAGATCCATCAGAATGAAACTTAACTATAAAGACCCACTTATAGTCAATAGTCTTCTTGGCATAAGGTAGTTCAACTAGTTCCTAAGTTCAATTTACAATTAAGGCATTCATCTCATCAAGCATCGCTGCCTGCCACCCAGAATGGGAAAAAGTTTGTCGAACTGATCTTCGAACCTCAACAGATCAAGAGAAGCAACAAATGAGCAAAAAGTGGACAAAAATTGATTATAGTTAACACAAGAGAAATGGTATAAGAGCATTCTTGTCTACCTCTTCAAAGAGCAACAGGTAAATCAAGATCATTGGGAATAGAATCCACAAAGGAAGATGATATTGTTGTCAAACTAGGACCAGAGGAACCAGGTCTTATCGAGTAAATGTTTGTGATAGGTGGTATAGGCTAAGGTACTAGAGATAGAGCTAGAGTAGGATCTGAACTTATAATGTGATACATTAACAACTCATCAGAATCTTGTTAAGGATTTAGGCATCGATGAGTCACCAAAGAATGGGGTTTATTCGTGAAAGGTGACATTGGCAAAAAACATGTATTTGTTCCAAGAGAGGAAAAACATTGATATCTATTTTGCAGACGAGAATATCCTAAAAAGATACCTTAATGATTTAGAGTCCAGTTTAGAAATTTGTGGATGAGTATCACGAACAAAACAAGTACACCTAAATATGTGTGGTTCAATAGAAAAGAGAGTTAGTGGAAGAAAACTTGGTAGGGTGTTTGATTCTATAGAACAATAGAAAGCATATGATTAATCAAAAACATGCAATAGAAAATGCATCAACCGAAAACGGTTTAGGCGCATTCATTTGAAAACAAATGGCTCTAGCAGTCTCAAGAAGAAGTCTATTTATTTTCAGCTATTTCATTTTGGGATGGAGTATCGACACAGAATGACTGGTAAAAAATTTCATTTTACGTAATGTACGTCTAAAAGAGTGTAGAAAAATATTCATTATCATTATCACTTCTCAGAAACTTAACCGAAATATTGAATTATGTTAATTTCAGTACAAAAAGATTGAAAACGGCAATAACTCAATTCGATATTTCATAAAGCAGAGCCAACTCATACAGGAAAAATCAATCATAAAAATAACAAAATATTGAAATTCATTAGATAAAATAGGACAAGATCTTCAAACATCAGAATGAATCAACTCAATGGTATGACTTATTCATTAACTTTGAGAACAGAATACAATTGATGGTTTTTAGCGGATTGACACGACACACTCTAACGATGATAATTGTTGAAATTGAGAGAAAAACTTATTTAGCATTGATAGCGATGGATATCCTAATCTACAATCGATCTCAAAAACTAATAAGGTGCTAGAACTGGCTACGGATCAAGGTACTCCTTATCCACGACATATAGCCCCCATGATTCTTCATTATAAGATCTTGAAATAGACAATAGTCGGAAAAAAAAAATACAACAATTAAGAGCATATGTAATTTTGCTAACGTAAATAAGATTAAAAGCAAATTGAGGTAAACTGGGAACAGAAGTTATAGGCAATGTGAGTGTAATATTGATGGTGTTAGAACCAAAAACATTAGAGGTGGATCCATCTGCTAAAATAATGAAAAAAAGGAGCTTATAAAAGATTTAAAAGAGTTTTGGATTATCTACCATGTGATTTGTAGCACCATAATCAATGACCCATTATGTGAAAGAGGAAAAGAGACAAGAATCATTGTTACCTGACTCGACAACTGTAGTGATAGAAGGGAATTTTTTGGATGTTTCATGAAATTTAATGAACTTAGCATAGAGGGAGTCTGACTATGAGAGGCATCATTAGTAATTATCAAGTGAGTTGACTGTGATTTAGAATCCCTCTGATTTTTCTGACATGTTCTTTTTGTATGACCAGGTTCATGCAGTCACAGCACACTATCTTCAAACCTTGATTTCCAGAATTCGGAGT